AGCTGAGGACCAAAGGTGGGCATAATGCTAACAGTGATATTCTCATTTAGACAATATTGATTTTTACTATGCAGCTGGTTTACAGTTCAACCAAAATGCATATCTGGTGTCCCTCTAAAAATAACAGAATGAATAAAAGTGATGTTAAGTCACTTGATAGAAACCTAAAGTGATTTGTAAGGGAACTCATAGCTTTATTCTATGGGGAAATACCTTGATGAATCACAATTCAGGCATTCCTGGATACCATTTTGCATCCTCTGTCCGGTTTCTTCTGCGGCTCCCAGCTGGCTTCTACTACTGCTAAATTCCAGCAACCAGCAGGATTCAATTCAGTGCTTTGTTTTGACTGCTGAGCTCCTGAGGAGAACACCAACTCAGATGAATAACTACATCTTTAGGCTGGGAACAGAATAGCACAATCAACTCATTTCCTACACATTTGAGGTTAAGGGATAGCCACCCTCAGTAGCTAGTACTTGTCCCAGCAAGTGGTCCAGACAAAGCTTCAGACTAACAAAAGAGAAGCCATTTCAATTCTTAAGTTAATATTCTCCTCCTAGAGAAAAAAAAGAAAACTTACAAAGTAAGCTAGTTGGTCACAGAAGGGTCAGTCTTGTAATCCTAGCTACTCAGGAGGCTGAGATTTGAGGATTACAGGAAGATAAATCCAAGAAACTCTCATCTCCATTTAATCAGCAGAAGCCGGAAGTGGAGGTGTGTTTCTAATGGTAAAGCACTAGCCTTTAGCACAAAAGCTCAGGGTCTGCGCCCAGGCGGAGTTTAAGCCCCAGGACAAGCACCAAAAAAATATTTTTTTTCAAAGCTTAAAATAGCACTAAGACTCCAGTCACAGGATGCCTAAATAGAAGCTTTTTATAATTCACACCCAGCCATGTCCAAAGAAAATTGAAATCACTCATAACACAACACACATACTTATATGCAAAGAGATGTAAAATTTAGCCATTTCTTTTTTCTAGTATTAGGGCTTAAACTCAGCTAGCACAGCTTCCTTGCTCATGACTGGTGCTCTACCAGTTTAGCTATCCTGGTTAATTGGAGATGGACTCTCATAGGCTTTTCTGACTAGGAAAATGGGCAGGACAGGAGATCAGAATATTTATGCAATATAATTACACCAGCAACAGGAGGGACAGTAGTTCTTGGGTTTAGAAACTGTTTGTGGGGTGGGAATGTGGCTTAGTGGTACAGTGCTTGCCTAGCATGCATGAAGCCCTGGGTTCAATTCCTCAGTACCACATAAACAGAAAAGCCCTTAATGGCACTGTGGCTCAAGTGATAGAGTGCTAGCCTTGAGCAAAATAAGCTCAGGGACAGTGCCAGGCCCTGAGTTCAACCCTAAGGACTGGCAAAAAAAAAAAAGAAAGAAAAAGAAACTGCATATTTGCCCACCAATTACGACGCCAGGATGTTAGTGCCCAAGAAAAAGAACATCTTTTGAAACTCTGCCCATGACTATTGGAAAAATACCAAACATTAGCCAACCCACCTCCCCCCTCCAAAAAAAAAGGATCAATAAAAACCTACTTGCTAAGGGACTCATCACTTGTTTGACCAGAGTTAGCTTCCTCCTGCTCCCAAACTGAAGTCTCAACAAAGGAGTTTGAGTTGTCTTTTTTTTTTTTTTTTTTTTTTTTGCCAGTCCTGGGCTCAGGGCCTGGGCACTGTCCTTGAGCTTTTTTTTTGCTCAAGACTAGCACTCTATCTGTTAGAGTAAATTAGACTCAGCCAGAAAACCATGGGGACGTCCAGGTAGGAAGAACAAAGAAAGGTTTATTGCCAGTCAGGGGACAGACAAGACCCCATCTCACCAGGTGGGAGGAAGTGAGAAGAAGTGCCAGCTATTGTGTCAGGTGACCTTTTATAACTTCCAGGATTTGGGGGAATCTCATTGCCTTATATGGTCATAGCTTTCCCAACAGGGTGTTCTCTCAGGGAAAGGGAGTAGGGGCTGATCATTTGCTGCCTATACTATGTGGGCCTAGTGTTGCCTAGGGAAACAGCATGTTAAGCTATGAGGGAGGAGGCTTCTGGGCTAACACTACCACTTGAGCTATAGCACCACTTCCAGCTTTATCTGTGTATGTGGTACTGAGGAATCGAACCCAGGGCTTTGTGCATGCTAGGCAAGCACTCTATCACTGAGCCAAACTCCCAGACCCAAGTTGTCTTGTTCATAGATGATTTGCTCTCATTTCTACTGTTTCCATACCATAAGATCCTACTGTTCTATATTAATACATGTGTATTATGATCCCAACTTTTGGATGTTAATGTTATTGTGAAAGACTCTTTCCTACAAAAGTTGAAAGAAATAACTTTCAAAGCTGAAGGGAGATTGCAGCAGGAGGTAGTTGTGAAGCTGAGTGGTAGAGCACTTCCTTAGCTAGTATATTCCAAGCTGTTGGCCCCAACACTGCACATAAACAACAAAAAAGCAGAAAAACAGTGAATATTTGTTTTCTCTCCAGTTAGAGTATTTCTAATTCAGTGAGTTTCAACCTTGACTGTATACTGGAATGACAGCTAGATTAAAAAGTACTAAGCTTGGGTCCTTCCAAGCTTCTGATGTAATTGCTCCAGGCTACAGAATGAGCATCTGGACTTTTAACCCCCCCCCCCAGGTGATCCTTATATGCAGCCAAATTAACCACTGCTCTTATTAATTTATATTTGGGTACATGTTAGCATAAAAATGTGTGCAAGGTGCTGGGAAGGTGGCTCAGTGGTAGAGCGCTTGCCTTGCATGGATGAGGCCCTGGGTTCAATTCCTCAGCACCACATAAGCAAAAAGAAAAAGCCAGACGTGGTGCTGTGGCTCAAGTGGTAGAGCGCTAGCCTTGAGCTGAAGAGCTGAGGGACAGCGCCCAGGCCCAGAGTTCAGGCCCAACGACCGGACCCAAAAAAAAAAATGTGTGCAAACTGGCACCAGTGGCTCACACTTGTAATCCTAGCTACTGGGGACTCAGGAGGCTGAGATCTGAAGATTAGGTTCAAAGCCAGCCTGGGCAGTAAAGGCCATGCGATTATCTCCAGTTAACCAGCAAAAAGTTGAAAGTGGCACTGTGGCTCAAAGTGGTAGTGTGCTAGCCTTGAGTGAAAAAGCTCATGGATAGCGCCCAGGCCCTGAGTTCAAGCCAAGCAACCAACAAAAAAGGAAAAAAGAAGTGTGCAGCTGTTTAGAGCTCCAAAAATTTCTTCATATCTTTTATTCTACCAAGGAGTTGCCATTCACCAAGGCAGTTTATGAATACAATGTTACCTTGATCAATGTCATCCCTTTCATCATTTCCCCCTCCCAACACACACAAATATTTTTTTGCCGGTATTGAGATTTAAACTCAGAGCTTTACACTCTGCCTGTCCTCTTGCTCCAGGCTGGCATAGAGAGCCAGCTTGAGCCCACTTTTCATTTCAGGTTTTTTGCTGGTTAATTGGAGATAAGAATCTGTCAGAAGCCGACTGCGGAGGTTAATGTCTATAATCCTAGCTACTCAGGAGGCTGAGATCTGAGGATCGCGGTTCAAAGCCAGTCAAGGCAGGAAAGTCCGTGAGAATCTTATCTCCAATAGAAAACCGAAAGTGGCAGTGTAGCTCAAGTGGTAGAGCACTCGCCTTGAACTGAAGAGCTCAGAGACAGCAGCGCCCAAGTCCAGAGATCAAACCCCACAACTGACAAAAAATAAAAATTAAAAAAAATCTCACAGACTTTTCAGTGCAGTTGCTCCTCAGGTGCCAGCCTGCAGAGAAGCTAGGATTACAGGCGTGAGCCCCTACCACCAGGCTCACAGTTCCACCAATCTCAAATTTCTTGATGTAAAAGAGGCAAACCGTTTAAATCAACATGGATAAATCTCCAAAATATGACAAAATAGCCAAAGAAACTGGCACAATTGTATTTACATAAAATTAAAAAAGAAGATGGGTGCCGGTGGCTCACGCCTACAATCCTAGCTACTCAGGAGGCTGAGATCTGAGGAACACGGTTCAAAGCCAGCTCAGGCAGAAAAATCCATGTGACTCTTATCTCCAATAATCTCTTCGGAAGAAGCAGAAAAGTGACCAGGCTCTGAGTTCAAGCCCCAGGACCGACAAAAAAAAAATAGTTAACAAAAAAATTGGAATCACTCAGTGGCAGGAGCCCAGGGTGGAGACACAGAGAAAGAAGTGAGCACACTGTTGAGGATGGAGAAGAAACTTTCGGAGGTGAATGTTCTTTTCTTTTCTTCCTTTTTTTGTTTTTTTTTCTCGGTTGTGGGGCTTGAACTCTGGGCCTGGGCGCTGTCCCTCAGCTCTTCAGCTCAAGGCGAGCGCTCTACCACTTGAGCCACAGCGCCACTTCCGGTTTCCTGGTGGTTAATTGAAGACTCTCAGGGACTTTCCTGCCCTGGCTGGCTTTGAACCGTGATCCTGAGATCTCAGCCTCCTGAGTAGCTAGGATTACAGGCGTGAGCCACTGGCGCCTGGTCTTGCTTCCTTTTTTATTTTTAGGTTGGAGACCTGGACTCGAATTCAGTACCTTACACTTTTGTTCACTGGCTGGCGTTCTACCAACTAAGCCACGCCTCCAACCCTGAAAACGTTATTTTGATTAGAGTCCACCAATATATTCGTTTATCAAAAGTCGTATGATGATTTCACTATCTGTAAATTACTTTCGCAAAAGTAATGTCATTAACTTAAATATGGATGACTACGATAATTACTTCGGGTGATCCCAAAACTTTGTCAGCTTAAACGGAATCTCAAACCTATATCACAACCAGGGAGAAGAGCAAGCAGTTACAAGCGAGGACCAAAGCCTGGGAACCCATTACATCCACGGCAGCACCAGCCAAGCGCTTCCCGTCAGCACTACGACGTCAGAGTGTCATAGGAAAATAAGCCCTACACCACCTTCCGGTATGCGTGTCTCTACAGGAAATGTTCGGTAGGAAACATGGCCACCAGAGCCAAGGAGCCGGAGACAATGGTTCCTGCGCAGATGTTGAGGCCGTAAAGCACGCCGGGCGGTCAGTCGGGTTGCAGATCGCAGGGAGGAAGACGCCGGGGTTCGCCTTCTCTCCGCTGCCGCTATGATTCCGGTGTCGTTGCTGGTGGTGGTAGTGGGTGGCTGGACTGCAGTTTACCTGACCGACTTGGTGCTGAAGGTGAGGGCCTCGGGCCTAAAGCTCAAACCAGCGGTGACCCAGGGCCGCTCGGAGTGCAAGGTCCTGTGTCGCCTGAGGCCTTTTTCTTCCTCTGCCAAATGCCTCCCAGGCGCGACACCTTTCGCCCGATGCCCACGTGCGGCCTACCGCCAGGCCCAGTGGCCCCGGTGGAGTCAATAAAACCCCTGCGAGCGCGGGAGGGGTGTGGCGGGAGGCCCGCGCGGCTGCCGCATTGCGGGCGATGGGTTCCTGCAGCCTTGGGAACTTACCTGGGAAGCGTCGATGGTGGGTTCGGGAGGCCGAGTACCTGGGAGAAAAAACAAACAAACCATCCATTTAGGACAGGCCTTGTTTCCCCTTATTGTTAGGCGATTACAACCCTGTTAAGGATTCTGGTATTGGAATGAAACTAAACCAAGTTGCGATTTCAATTCGTGCTCTCAAATTCAAAAGTGCAATGGATCGCGCGTGGAATCAGCTGCGGTTCCAGTTAAAATGCAGGTTCTGATCTAGCAGGTCTGGGGCGAAACCTAAGATTCTGGATTTCTTGTAACCACTTCGCAAGTGCCACCTGTGTTGCTAGTCCGTCGACATTCTCCAAAGTAGCGCACCCCCGGGACCCGGAGTGTGATAGGGTGAAAATAATTAGAATACGGTATAAATGTGTGGAGATGTTAGTCCCCTTTGTATAATCGATACACGTCAATCAAAAAGTGTGCTTAAGTAAAGATTCTTAAAGAAAAACAAAAAGAAGCAGCCGGGAGCCAGTGGCTCACGCCTTTAATTCTAGCTATTTAATAGGCTGAGATCTAAGGATTGTGGTTTGAATCAGCTGGGACAGACAAATCCTTGAGGCTTATTTCCAATTAACCACCAAAACGCTGAAATTGGAGGTCGGAAACACTAAGTGACACCATCCATGCCCTCAGTTCAAACCTCAGTGCGGGCACCAAAAAGTATGCTTAAATCCAAAGGTTTAGATTAGTAGAATTTTGCTTTGCACCCGCCCTCCCCCTCCCATTTTGGGCCTGCGCTGGGGCTCGAACTCATGGCCTCATACTCGTTATACCCCCCCCCACACACACACACAGATGGTGCTGTACCACGTGAGCCATGACTCCAGTTCCTGCTTGAGTGTGTGTGTGTCCAAGTCCAAGACCTAAACTGGAACTTGGTGTGTGCTGCTTTCACTCATTGGCTGGCAATGATGCTTTCCCTTGTTAGCTAGCATTCTATGACCTGAGCCACACCTATAATTCCCACCTCCAGCGTTTTTGCTGGCCAATTGGAGAGATGAGTTTTTTGTCAGGACCGGTGACAAACTGAGATCTGCAAATCTGAGCCTCCTCTGTAGCTAGAGTTACAGGGGTGGGCTACCTGAATCTGTCAGATTGTAATTTTTTTTTTCGTCAGTCGTGGGGCTTGAACTCTGGGCCTTAGCACTATCCCTCAGCTCTTCAGCTCAAGGAGAGTGCACCACTTGGGCCACAGCACCACTTCTGGTTTTCTGGTGGTTCATTGGAGATAAGAGTGTCACGGACCTTCCTGCCCAGGCTGGCTTTGAACTGCGATCCTCAGATCTCAGCCTCCTGAGTAGCTAGGATGACAGGCATGAGCCACCGGTGCCCAATAGATTGTAACTTTTCTTTTTCCTTTTAAGAGTACTGGGGTTTGAACTCTGGATCTCATGCTTTATAGGCAGTCACGCTACCACTTGAGCCACTCTACCAGTCTACAATCCTCCCTTCACTGTAGCCACATACACAGTCCATTTTTCAGTTACTTGGGAATAGTGTCGAGAAATTAGGGATACCTATATAGGCACATACTTTAAGCAATCTTTTGGAATGGAATATTAGTGAGACATATCTGGAATAAATCATATAAATTCTCAAAGAATTAATACATGTTTTTGTTTTTGTCAGTTGTAGGGCTTGAACTCAAGGCCTGGACACTGTCCTTAAGCCCTTTTGCTTCAGGTTAGGGCTCTACCAACTCTGAGCCACAGTGCTGTTTCTGGTTTTCTGGTGGTTTCTGGTTTTTTGGAGTTTTATGGACTTTCCTGCCCGGGCTGGCTTTGAACAGTAATCCTCAAATCTCAGCCTCCTGAGTAGTTAGGATTACAGGTACAGTGGTACCTGGCTTACAAATACTGGTTTTGTTGTTGTGGTTGTGGTTGTTGTAGTTGTTGAGTGCTAGAATTTGAACTTGGGGCCTCACATTTAGGAGGCAGTAGATGCTACAACTGAGCCACACTTTTAGCCCTATTCTGTACTAATTATTTTTAAGATAGGGTCTTGCTTCCTACCCGGGTACACCCTGAGCCTGGGAGAGGCCAACTTCTCTTAGGCTTCCAGTTGTAGCTTGAGTAAGTCTCCCCCCGCTACCACCCAGCTCTTGGTTGAAAAGGAATTTTGTGTGTGTGTGTGTGTGTGTGTGTGTGTGTGTGTGTGTCTTTTGTGCCTGAGTTGCCCTTGAACTATGATCTTGATTTCAGCTACCTAAGTAGCTAGGATTATAAACGTGAACCATCCAACTCCAGCCATCCTACTGTTTGATCTAACATACACACATACTACTGTAAAATTATCTGCTACAGGATAGTGTATTATATATTTCACAGTAGTGTGTATGTGTGTGTGTGTTAGATAATAACAGTGAAACAAAGCGATATGTGTATTTTTTGCTGTACTCTTTAGGAAGGCTGAGCCCTGTCACTTCCTAGCCTTGGTGATTTGGGGCAAATAGCTACTTGTGCTTTGCCTTCTTATCTTTAAATAGGGATAATAATAGGAAGGGTCTCCTGAGATTATGGAAATTACATTCAAATGTCCACATAAAGAATGGCTTGCTACTTGACCTGAGGTTCAAGAGCCAGCAACACTTGTAGCATCTGGGTCCTTTGTTAGAAGAGAATCCCAGACCTGCACAATTAGAATCTGTATCGTCACAAACTCCCCAGGTACTTCTTCTGCACATTTGGGTTTGGGAAGCACTGTCATAAGCTTTACAGTGACTTTGAAAAAGAAAAGGCTACTGATTTCCAGTTACATATGTGAAAAAAAAAACCCAAAACATCAGGTGTCAATGACTCATGCTTGCAATCCTAGCTACTCAAGAAGCTGAGAGCTGCAGATCATGATTCACAGCCAACCCAAACAGGAAAGTCTATGAGACACTTATTTCCAGTTAGCAACCAAAAAGCTGAAAGTGGAGCTGGAGAGGGCTAGCCTTGAGTAAAAGAGTTCAGAGACAGTGCCCAGGTCCTAAAAGCCTCAAAACCAACAAAGAAAGAAAAAGAGAGGGGGGAGGGAGGGAGAAAGCAGAGAAAGAAAGAGAAGGAAGGAAGGAGGGAGGGAAGGAAGGAAGGAAGGCAGGCAGGCAGGCAGGCAGGCAGACAGACAGACAGAGAGCGACAGAGCGAGAGAGAGAGAGGAAGAGAAAGGAAAGAGAGAAAGAAAGGAGGGATATAGCATCTCATCAAACTTGTACAATTAGTCTCTGGTCAAACGTGAGCGGTGATAAAAGTGCCACTTTAATTTCAGGGGCAAGCATGAGCACAAATTCCTGAGCAAAAGCCCAGAGCATCTACCTGGAGAATAAATACAACTTGCCTTTTAGTAGCTTGCATTCTGAGCTCTGCACTTAGTATGCTGTTCTCCCTTGAGTTTCTTTAGCATCTCTGCAATAGGAGTTGTGAGTCACTCCTTTTCAAGTCCTGGAAAACAAGCAGACTTAAAAGTTACCTGAAGACAAAATAGAGACCATTACAGACCCAATGCAAACAGATAATTGTGTTCAAACCACACATTTGTGGATGTGTGCCAGTCCTGGGTTTGAACTCAGGGCCTGGACACTGTCCTTTAGCTTTTTTTGCCCAAGTCTAGAGCTCTGCCACTTTGAGCCAGAGCTCCACTTTCAGCTGTTTTTGTTTGTTTGTTTGTTTGTGGTTAATTGGCAATAAGTTTCATGGACTTCACTGTCCGGGCAACTTCAAACCACTATCCTCTGATCTCAGCCTCCTATTTAGCTAGGATTACAGTTGTCAGCTACCAGTGGCTGACCCAGATAATTTTTTTATGACTACAATAAGACGAATAGCCTTCTAAAGCAAATAAGTTTCATTCATAGTTGGTCATCAATCATGACCATGAAGCACTAACTGTAATTATCAGCTATATAACAGAGCTTTATATTACAGACAAACCTATATTATCCAAGGACTTAAAACCTTCCTAAAGAAAAAGACTTGTGGCTGTGTATAAACTGCTATACCCACAACCTCTAGGAAATTTAAGAGATATTACTGATACCAAAATGGCTTAAAATAAGTTTTGTACTTTGTGTGTATGTGTGCCTGTGTGTGTGTGTGCGCATAACACGCCAGACCTGTGGCTTAACTCGTGGCGATTTTGTTCTCAAGGCTAGCATTCTACCACTGGAACCACAGCTCCACTCCCAGCTTTTTTGGTGTTTAATTGGAGATAGGAGTCTCGAGGACTTTGCTGCCTGGGCTGGATTCAAAGTAAAATCCTGACATCTCAGCACCCTCAGTAACTAGGATTACAGGCATGAGCCACCAGCACCCAGCAAGTTTTGTGATTTTACATAATCAAAATTGGCATTCAGAAGAAGAGAGCACTGATTCTAACTTCTGTTGAAATGGTTGAGGATCTTTTAAAATAATAACCATATAACTTATTTTTGTGGAAACAAACCTGTACTATCTTGCGTGGCAAGTAGTAGCTAAGTGAAGCTAGTCAGTGTTTGAAGTAGAACAAGTCTGAACAAAGATGAATAGTGATGGTGCCAGATTTCAAAGATTTAATACCCCAAAAGGAAGTACCTTGACTTTTACATTGTTTTATGTTTTGAAGTGGTATCTTAGATATTAATAACTAAAAGATATGAAAATCAATCTGTTTCTGTTCACCCTTTTAAATTTGACTACTAGATAATTTAAAATTGCATGAATCTTACTTAAGAGTACCAGTGGTTCACCCCTATAATCCTAGCTACTCAGGAGGCTGACAACTGAGGATCACAGACTGGAGCCAGTCCTCGCAGGCAAGTTCATGAGACTCTTACCTCCAATTATCCACAAAAATCAGAAGTAGAGCTCTTACTCAAGTGGTAGAACCCTAGCTTTGAGCACAAAAGCTCAGACAGTGCCCAGGTCCAGAGTTCAAGTCCCAGGACTAACCTAAATTTTTTTTTAAACACACACACACACACACACACACACACACACTTTAGTTTCTAAGTAGAGGTCAGGAAACTGTGTGGTGTGTGTGTGTGTGTGTGTATGTATGTGTGTGTGTGTATGTGTGTGTATATTCGCGTACACCCTCATGCGTTTGCACGCACCAGTCCTGGGGCTTGAACTCAGGGCCTGGACATCAATGCTGAGCTTTTTCACTCAAGGCTAGTACTCTACCACTTTAGCTACAGCTCTACCCCTGACTTCTTGGTGGTTAATTGGAGATAAGAGTCTCATGGACATTCTTGCCAGGCCTTGTTTTGAATCAAAATCCTCAGATCTCAGCTCCTGAGTAGATAGGATTACAAGCCTGAGCCACCAACACCTTGCAGTATGATTTTTTTTTTCCTGTTGGTCTTGGGGCTTGAACTCAGAGCCTGGGCCCTGCCCCTGAACTTTATTTATTTATTATTTATTTGCTTAAGGCTAGCATTCTGCCACTTGAGCCCCAGCTCCACTTCCTTTTTTTTGGAGGGAGTACTTAATTGGAGATAAGAGTCTTGTAGACTTTCCTGCCTTGCCTGGCTTCAAACCCTCGTCCTCAGATCTTAGCCTCCTGAGTTGCTAGGATTATAAGCATGAGTCACTGGTGCTGGGCAGGAAATTTCTTTTTTTCTTTTCTTTCTTTCTTTTTTCTTTTTTTCCTGTCGGTAGGTCATGAGGCTTAAATTTAGGGCCTGGGCACTGTCCCTGAACTCTATTACTTAAGGCCAGTGCTCTAGTGCTTTGAGCCACAGTGCCACATCCGGTTTTCTGGTGATTATTTGGAAAAAAAAGAGTCTCATGGACTTTTCCTGCCTGGGCTGGCTTTGAACCACAAGCCTCAGATTTCAGCCTCCTGTGTTGCTAGAATTAAAGTTGTGAGCCACCAACACCCGGCTATGTAATATCTTTTTAAAGCACTATAATTGTTAAATATTACAGGTTTTGTGGGCCATATAGGATACCTGTTGCATATTCTTGGTTTTTTTATTACCTTTTATTATAGTGACCAAAAAAAAATGGATGTTATTCTTAGCTCCCAAGATGTACCAAAAACAAAACAAAAACAAAAAACAAGCTGTAAGCCAGATTTGGCATGTGGGACAGTTTGCCAGCCCCTACCCTTAGCAGTTCAGCTAGTCTAGAGAGCCATAATACCCTGGATAAGAACTGGTAAAGCATTTTCTTCCCATTTCAATAGACAGTATTTTAAATGGTCAGAGGAGTTACACTTTTGTGCTCCTCCCCTAAGGGTATCCTCCTTTATTTATTTATTTTTTTGCAGGGGGAGGGTATCCTCCTTTAGTCTGACTGTGTGTGTAAAGGCCTAGATTCCTGTATAGGTGATCATGTCCAATTATATTTTAGATCTAGCTTCCACGTAGGAGAGAAAACTTGCACTATTTGTAAATGGTAAAGCTTTTAAGATGATAAACATTGAGCAGTTCACATCTAGATTTTTTTATAGAAAAAATGCTTTTATTATGTTATACCTGGTTCTTAAATTTGAGTTGTATGAAACTTTTCTTTCTCTCTTAGTCATCTGTCTATTTTAAACATTCTTATGAAGACTGGCTGGAAAACAATGGCCTGAGCATCTCCCCTTTTCACATAAGATGGCAAACTGCAGTTTTCAATCGTGCCTTTTACAGCTGGGGACGGCGGAAAGCGAGGATGCTTTATCAGTGGTACTTTTGATCTTTTCTTTTTGGTTTAAATTAGTCATTGGGATCATCAGAGATTACTTGTTAAATTAACCTTTATATCATTTCATTTTGATCTATGAAGTTTTAAGATATTGACAGTAGAAAAACTTTTTGGTTTTTAGCTGAGCTCTCACCTACATTCCCAGCTACAAGGAAGGCAGAGATCAAGAGGATCACATTTCTAGGCCAGCCTGGGGGGCAGGAAGATTAGCAAACTCATCCCAGGGCTGGAAATGCAGCTTAGTGGTAGAGTGCTTGCCTAGCTTGCTTGAAGCCCTGGGTTTGATTCCTCAGTACCACATGCACAGAAAAAGCTGGAAGTGGCACTGTGGCTCAAGTGGTAGAGTGCCAGCCTTGAGCAAAAGAAACTCAGGGACAGTGCCTAGGCCCTGAGTTCAAGCCCAAGGACTGGCAATTTAAGTAAGTAAGTAAATAAAAGAATTCATCCCATGGGAAGTATAAATAAAAGGAATGTGGTCCAGGCCAGCCTGGGCAAAATGTGCAAGACCCTGCCAGAGAAATAACTGAAGAAAAAAAGACTGGGAGCTGTGATTGCAGTGGTAGAGTGCCTGCTTAGCATGTGAAGCCCTGGGTTGAAACCCCAATACCACCCCAAAAAAAAACATACTTTTTTTCATACAGCTTTTTTTGCCAGTCCTGGGGCTTGAACCCAGGGCCTGGGCACTATCCCTGAGCTCCTTTTGCTAAAGCTACCACTCTACCACTTGAACCACAATGCCACTTTTAGCTTTTTCTGTTTATGTAGTACTGAGGAAACGAACCCAGGACTTCATGCATGCTAGACAAACACTCTACCACTAAGCCACATTCCCAGCCCATTCATACAGCTTTATTGTGTGAGTGCTGGTCCTGAGGCTTGAACTTAGGGCCTGGGCAATGTCCCTGAGGTTTTTTGCTCAAGGCTAATAGAAAACCACTTGAGCCACAGCACCACTTCCAGCTTTTTCTGTTACTAATTGGAGATAAAAGTCTCATGGACTTTCCTGCCTGGACTGACTTTGATGCACAATCCTCAGATGTCAGCCTCCTGAGTAGCTAGGATTACATGTGTGAGCCACCATCAACTAGTTCAAAGCTTTTTTTTCTTTAAGTGTATGTACCAGGTGGCCTCCCATTCTCATTGGCTTTTTCACTGAAGTCTTGTGCTCTGTCACTTGAGCCATACCTCCACTTCAAGCTTTTTCACTGCCTAATTGAACATAAGAATCTCATAGACTTTTTCTGTCCAGTCTAGCTTTGAACCTTAAACTTCAGATCTCAGCCTCCTGAGTAGCTAGAATTATAGATGTGAGCCACCAGTGCCAAACTGAGGAGAAACTTTTTTTTTTTTTTGGAGGGAGGAATGACAGTCAACTTCTTGGGGTATCAGAAAAATTGTAACTTATTAGAATTGATTATAAAGAAACTAGTTGACATACTTAGATAGTAAAAAAAAAGAGGCAAATTTATTGAATTGTTTTGCCATTATGTTGAAGCTATGAAATGCAGCTGGTCAATGAGTTTATTAGCTCATGCATTCTGAAAGATTGTACATTGACATGTTGGTTTTCTTTTCCACTTGACAGGTTCAATTTTGGAATGGTGTTTGGTGTGGTTGCCATGTTCAGTTCTTTTTTTCTCCTTGGAAAAACGCTGATGCAGACTTTGTCACAGATGATGGCTGACTCTCCCTCTTATTCTTCCTCCTCTTCCTCTTCCTCCTCCTCCTCCTCTTCTTCTTTCTCATCTTCTTCCTCTTCCTCCTCCTCCTCCTCCTCTTCCTCCTCTGCCTCTCTTCACAATGAGCAGGTGTTGCAAGTTGTGGTAAGTACTTTCTTTTTGCTTCAAATAGCTTCGTTGAAATAATTTTGTAGATAAAAAACATGTTTCTCACTAATATAACTACTATCTATAGTATATGAACATGAAAATAAAAGTCACGACTTTTATTTAAAACTGTAATTACGAAATTAAATCTTAAACACTGGGTGAGCTCTCAGCATCTTCCTTTGTTCAGTTCCTCTCTTTTGTAGGATAAATTGTTATATCTTCTTGCTTATATTTTATTGTAATGAAAGCTTGACTGAATTAAAGCCTCCAAAACTTAAAAAAAGTCACATTTTTTTAAATTGCCTGTTTAAACAACAAAAAAAGCATTGATAAGCAGCAGGAATGATTGCATTATTTAGTAGTGGTGGTCATAATACTTGCACAAAACAAATGGGCCATCGTCAAGACCAGCAATTGCACAACTCTTTGAATTAATATTGTCTTTTTTATGTGCTGGTAGTGGGGATTGAACTCAGAGCCTTGTGCTCTTGCTTGGCTTTTTCAGTCAAAACTAAAGTTCTACCACTTGAGGTATACCTCTACTTCCAGCTTTTTATTGGTTAATTCGAGATAAGTGTCTCATGGATTTGTTTGCTAGGGCTGGTTTGAGCCACAATCTTCAGATCTCAGCTTCCTGAATAGTTAGGATTATAGCATGAGCCACCAACCCTTGACCTGGTGTTGTCTTCTTTTTTTAAATTTTTTTTTTTGGTCGGTTGTGGGGCTTGAATTCTGGGATTGGGTGCTGTCCATGTGCTCTTCAGCTCAAGGCGAGTGCTCTACCACTTGAGCTACAGCCCCACTTCTGGTTTTCTAGTGGTTTATTAGAGATAAGAGTCTCATGGAGTTTCCTGCCCGGGCTGACTTTGAACCGTGTTCCTCAGATCTCAGCCTCCTGAGTAGCTAGGATTATAGGCGTAAGCCACCGGTGCCCGGCTCCCGTTGTCTTCTTAAGATATGAAATGATTGTTACATTTGAGGAATAATCATGCTGATTTAAGATCTCTATATCAATAAATTGCATTTTAATCCCATACAGTGTTCCTTTGTGCTTATTATAATTTTAAGAATCTTAACAATATCCATTTAATTCACTTAAAAACTGGAGATATAGTTCAGCAGTGTAGCATTTTTAATTTTTTTTTGCCCATCCTAGGGCTTGAACTCTGGACCTGGGTCCTGTCTCTAAGCCTCTTTGTGCTCAAGGCTAATGCTCTACCACTTGAGCTACAGTGCTACTTTGAGCCTTTTCTGATTAGTTTTATTGGAGGTAAGAGTCTCACAGATTTTCCTGCCCAGGCTGGCTTCAAATGGCGATCCTCAGATCTCAGCCTCCTAGTAGCTAAGAGTACAGGCATGAGTCATCAGTGCCTGGCAATTATTTTTATTTTAAAGCATGCATATACTTTATTTTTTCCAGAACTTGGAAGGAAGTTTGATGTTGGCTCACTTTTATTTCACATTTTTACACCTATAGTTCTCATTGCAGAAGTCATTGCTGTTGTATTTTTTAAAATATTCTTATTAATGGGATAGATTTTTATGGGTTGGCAGCAGATTTTTAAAGAATTTGTCTCATTGTGGCCTCTGCTAGACTGAGTGATTATAGGAAAATGTAGCAGACATAGAACTCTTCAAGAAAGGGCTGGGAAGGTAGCTCAGTGGTAGAGCGCTTGCCTTGCATGCCTGAGGCCCTGGATTCCATTCCTCAGCACCACATAAGCAAAAAGAAAAAAGCCGGAAGTGGTGCTGCGGCTCAAGTGGTAGAGTGCTAGCCTTGAGCTGAAGAGCTGAGGGACAGCACCCAGACCCAGAGTTCAGGCCCCATGACCAGACCCAAAAAAATAAAAACAAAAACAAAAAAAAGAACTCTTCAAGAAAATGTAAAGCCAGGAGCTGGTGGCTCATGCATATAATCCTAGCTTCTCAGGAGGCTGAAATCCGAGTATTGTGGTTTGAAGCCAGCCTAGGAAGCAAAGTCCATGATATTCTTAACTCCAATTAGCCACCAACAACAATAAAAAACTAGCTGAAGTGGAGCTGTGGCTCAAGTGGTAGAGCATTAGCCTTGAACAAAAAAAGCTCAAGGACAGCGTCTTAGTTCAAGCCCCAGGACTAGCACAAAAAAGAAGGAAAGAAAATATAAGTAATTTTGACGTGTATCTATGAGGGGAAACCCTGAACAGAAGTGTTGGCAAGAGAGCCAGATGGTAGCTGGGAAAGAAGCTGGGAGATACAAATGTGGCCTATCTTAGTAATGATCATTCTAGGAAGTTTTATTTTTACCTACAGGTAACAGTTCTGTGCAAACTGGTCCAAATATGAGGGGACTGTTTCAGAGGGCAGTTAGAATAATTTATGTTAGAAATTATAAGGTCTAAACAAAATTAATGGCAAGGGTAGTGAAGGGAACAGATTCAAGTGGGCTCTTAGAGCAGAGTTCTCAGACCTAGTAATTAATTGAGTAAGAGGCTGCAGGAAGAAGCAAGAGTTGATGATGAGTCTCAGGTTATACGGGAGGTTTTTGTTCACTAAGAAAGAGTATAGGAGGGAAGGAAGCCAGTTTGAAGGAAATATGATCGTTGAAATATCTGCCTGCTAGAATTAGAATGACAAAATGTTATGTAGACCACAAATGCTTTTTCCCTTTGCTTTTCAGTTTATTCTTAGTACTCACAAAAATACTATCAGGCAAGCTGTGCTTTGGAACCATTAAAAAGTCAGCAACTCTCGAGTCCACTATGCATATTTATGTATGATTTTAAGCATATTATGTCTCCTGACTTCGATGTACGCCTTAGTAGCTTAAAGAACATATTTTCTTTTTACGCAGTAAGTCCCTACAGCCTTGTTCAGTATTCATTCTCAGAACCCAAGCGCTTTGTGTTGTTGAGAGAATTCTGTGTTCAGTATTCTGGTACATCTAATACCCTGTGTGATCATGGCAGAGACAGATGGTAATCTTGTACTGTTGCCAGTAAATAAGACCTACCATCTGTTGGACTAGTCACACACTGAAATTCTTACCTTATCTCATTCATTTTAACATCTAAGACAAAGAGAAGGAACAAACACTGTATGGGATCCAGCTTACAGATTTATTTGAAATAAAGGTAAAGTGACCAGTATATTTTGTGAGACAGAGAATTAATCTTAAGTATGTAAACTGAGAGGTGAGAGACGGGAAAAGTGCTGAGCTGACCAGATGCCTGCCAACATGGCGCTGCAGCAGCTCTGTAGAACAAGGGATACTGATGTGTGTGGAAAGCTGGCTCAGTAGAGTATCTGTACAAAGAATTCCGGGCCAGGCACCAGTGGCTCACGCCTGTAATCCTAGGTACTCAGGAGGCTGAGATCTGAGGATCTTTTCCTGCCTGGGAAGGAAGAGTCCATGAGACTCTTATGTCCACTTAACCACAAAAATGCTGGAAGTAGAAAGCTGAAGGACAGCTTCCAGGCCTTGAGTTCAAGCTCCAGGGCCAGAAGGAAAGGAAGAAAGGAAAGAAAGAAAAGAGAAAGAAAGAAAGGAGGGAGGGAGGGAGAGAGAGAAGGAAGGAAAGAAAGGAAGGAAAGAAATTCCAGCTAGGTGCCAATGGCTCACACCTGTAATCGTAACTGCACAGGAGACTGAGATCTGAGAATCACGGTTAGCCCAGGTGGAAAAAAATAGTCTGTAAGACTCTTATCTCTAACTATCCTTCCCACCCCAAAAAGCCAAAAGTGTAACTGTGGCTCAAAATGGTAGAGCACTACTCTTGAACAAAAAAAAAAGCTGAGGGAAAGCACCCAGGCCCCGAGTTCAAGCCCCAGTATGGCAGAAAAAAAATGATGATTACAAAAACTAGTTTAAGGGCCAGAGAATAGACAGTTGGAATCAATGGAATGTAAAAAACAATCCAAGAAGCATTCTGTGAAGTCTTTTCTTTGGTTAAAAGGTAAAATTCCTCTGGAGTGCAGCACAAAAGTCAACTGTGACTGTGTTAGAATTAAGTGTGACTCATGAAAGATCTTAAGAGGAAAAGAAATCAAAATGCTGTTTATATGAACACATAAAACTAAAGTGAAACAGGGACTATTTTCATGAAACAGTACCACCTTTATTATTTATTTTTGATTTCTAATGATGTTATTTTTAGAGTAGTTTTTGGCTCATATCAAAATTAAGAAGACAGCACAGAGATATCCTGTGCATCTCCCTCCAGCCCCCACACGCTGCTTCCATCACTACCACCAATCACCCACCACAGTGGTGAAAGTGTTACAAATGATCAACCTGGGCTGGTCAGTTACCGCCACCCGAAATCCATAGTTTACGCTGAAGTTCCCTCTTGGTGAGGTAGGAAATTATATTTATTGATAAATCCGAAGCTTTTTATATATCAAGAACTAACAAAATATGATGACAAGGCAAGAACACTGAGCAAAATGTTTGTAACACATACTACAAAGGACCAATACTGTTACTTTTAAGTGATTTTATAAACTAGTGAGAAAAAGGTGAATATTTTAGTAGGAAAAAAAAAGAGTCATAAATAGGCAACTCAAAAGACCAAAAAAATAGACAAAAATGTACAGGAAAAGTTCAGCTTTACTAATGATCATAAGAAATTTCAGTCAAATTGCAGATTTGAATAAAATATACTTACTTAAGGGTACAGAAGTGTCTATTTTTAGAGAACACTTAGATGATGAAGAACAAATTTCTTTAAAGTTTGTGTAACAAAAGAATTTATTGCTGGGCACAGGTGGCTCACACCTGTAATCCTAGCTACTCTGGAGGCTGAGATCTGAGCATGATGGTTCAAAGCCAGTCCAGGCAGGAAAAGTCCATGAGTCATATCTCCGATTACCAGAAAACCGTAAGTAGCACTTTTGCTCAAAGTGGTAGAGCAAAAAAAGCTCAAGGACAGCACCCAGGCCTTCAGTTCAAGCCCCATGACCACCACCACCACCACCAGCAACAAGAAGAAAAAGAATGAATTATCTTCTCTGTGAGGCATAATGTTAAGCATTGAACAAAGATTAGGCCATTGATATGCCAAGTAGTTTACAATACTACTTTGTTTGAATTTATTCAGCAGGTGCTCTATCACTTGAGCAATCCCACAAGACCTCTGTTTTTAGTTACCTTGTAAACAGTCTGTTTTTGCCCAGAGTTGACCATCTATAACTTGATACTCTGGATTTCAGCTTCCCAAGTAGCTAGGATTACAGGCATGTACTACTCTGTCCTTCTGTTTCTTCTTTTTTTCATTTTATTAATAAGGAAGGTGGAGTATTACAGGAATTTATTACACGAAATATAATTATATATATACACATATACATATATATGTACAAATGCATATATCAAGATCAGAAACATTAAAAAAAATTAGACTGTATTCTCACAATTCACACCTATAATCCTAGCTAAGGACGCTGAATAATCAGAGGACCACAGTTCAAAGTAAGCAAGCCCAGGCAGAAAATCCTCAAGATCCTCTAAAACCATCAAAATCCAGTCTGGGGGCATAGCTCAAGTGGTAGAGTGCTACCCAAACAAGCAAGCCCAGAGGGCAAGGCCATGGATTCAAACCCTGCTACCTGCAAAAACAAAAACAAAAAAAACAAACCTGGTAATTACTGCCATATTGTGTCTCTGAACAGGTTCCTGGTATCAATTTACCCGTCAATCAGCTGACCTATTTCTTTGCTGCTGTCCTCATTAGTGGTGTTGTACATGAAATTGGACATGGGATAGCAGCTATTCGGTAATGATACTTACCTTTTCCTTTTCTTTTCCTTAAAAGGTTTTCACTTAAGGTTTATTACTAAAATTTGCTATATTTGGTAAATATTCTTCATTCTGTAGAATTGCCCAGAATACACCCATCATCTATTACTGTGAAGTGGCTATGCTTTTATAGAAAAGATTAATATGCTGATAAATACACTCAATCATGTGCACATCTGTGGTCCGAGTCTTCCTCTCCTTTGCCAGCATGATTATAGCCATGGGGAGCTTCAAAGTTTTTCATCTAGTTTTGAAGTTCCTTTTTATTTTTATTTTTTTGTGCCAGTACTGTGGCTTGAACTCAGGGCCTTGGTACTGTCCCCAGGCTCTTTTTGTTCAAGGCTAGCATTCTTGCCACTTGAGCCACAGCTCTACTTTCAGCATTTTGTGGTTAAGTAGAAGTAAGAGTCTCCTGGACTTTTCCTGCCCAGGTAGGAAAAGATCCTCAGATCTCAGCCTCCTGAGTAGCTAGGATTACAGGCATGAGCTACCAGTGCTCTACTAGAAATTCTCTCTTTTTTTTTTCAGTTTTTGAACTTGAACTCAGAGCCTAGGCTCTGTCCCTGAGTCTCTTTGTGCTCAAGGCTAATGCTCTAGCATTGAGCTACAGTGCCACTTCCATTGGAATTCTTTTTAATTCAATAATCTTTTTTGGTGTGTGTGGGAGAGTCGTGGGGCTTGTCTGGGCCTGGGCGCTGTCCGTCAGCTCTTCAGATCAAGGCTAGCACTCTATCACTTGAGCCACAGTGCCACTTCCAGTTTTCTGGTGGTTTTATTGGAGGTAAGAGTCTCACAGACTTTCCTGCCTGGGCTGGCTCTGAACTGTGATCCTCAGATCTCAACCTCCTTAGTAGTTAGGATTATATGTGTGAAGTATCAGAGCCCGGCTTTAATAATCTTTATTCTTTAGATTTGGAGAGGGTGGCAGGAAGTTGCCTTGTGGTCCAAGGTGGCCTGGATCTCATAACCCTTCTACTTCCACCTCCCAAGTACTGGGATTACTGAAGTGCACACCATACCTGGCATATCTTAGTACTTTCCTTGGCGTATCAGTTAAAAATAACTTCCTGCCCTCCTGTTCATGTCTTGTACCAGCTAGACAAATAAAACTCAAAGTGTTGGGCTTAACAAATATAGGATGAAATCTAGGACTTATTTTGAAGATCATTACTTGTTTTTGGTGTTGACTCTCCAGATATGTTATTCTATAGTTATTCCTGACTAGCTACGATGGAAAGTGGGTGAGAGGCATCATAAGTTCCCAGCTGCCTCAGTGATAATTATGGTCATTATCAGAAACATTCTGACAAGACTGTGTTTTACCCTTGGGAATCAGAGTAAAGACAAAGCACTGTTATAATGGAGCGGATTTAGTCACCTACTACTTTCCAGTTGCTTATGAACAATAATCTACCTACTGGTAATAAGCCCTCATCTTAACAGAACAAATAATGTTATGTAATTGTATGTGCTCATTTTATCTCTTTTACCATTGCCTCCATGTCTTTACTCTTGTGGACTTTTGGATTTCACATGCATATGGAACTTTTTTTGTGTGGTACTGGGGTTAGAACTCAAGGAGTCCCACTTGCTAAGCAAGTATTCTACTACTTGAGCCACACTACAGCCTTGGAAGCTTTTTTTTTTCTTTTTGTTTGGTACTGCTTCTTGGGCTTGAACTCAGGACCTTAAGCTCTACGTCAGCTTTCTGGTTCATGCTTGACACTACTACTGAAGTCTTGCTGGATTTTTGGTGGTTAAATGAGATAAGAATCTCTTGGATTTGTATGTCCAGACTGGCTTTGAACTGGGATCCTCAAAATCTCAATCTCCTGAGTAGCTAGGGTATAGGTGTGAGCCACCAGCACCTGGATGAAAACAATTTTAGTAACAGTTTAATTGTTAAATAAATTGATTAATTTTTTAATAGAATCTCATTGCCAAAATCATGGTATTCAGTATATACTATGTAGAAAACAAGCTATGTAACTTGTGGGCAAGGACAGAAGGGGGAAACTGGGGGAAAGTAATGAAGGGGTGACATTATCCAAAAGAGAAATGTACGCATTACCTGAATTGTGAAATGGTAATCCCTCTTTATAACACCTTAATAATAACAATAAAATTATCTTTTAAAAAATCTTATTGCCAGCTGGGTCTCGATGGCTCCCGCCTGTAATCCTAGCTACTCAGGAGGCTGAGATCTCAGAATCACGGTTCAAAGCCAGCCCGGGCAAGAAAAGTCATGAGATTCTTATCTCCAGAAAACCGGAACTGGAGCTGTGGCTCAAGTGGTAGAGCGCTAGCCTTGTGCTGAAGGGCTGAGGGACAGTGTTCAGGCCCAGAGTTCAAGCACCATGACTGCCAAAAAAAATCTCACTGCCAACAAAAAGTAAGCTGCATAATTGTCTTAAAAATTTGGTATGAAGCCTGGTGCCGGTGGTTCATGCCTGTAATCAAAGCCAGCCCAGGCAGGAAAGCCTGTGAGATTCTTATCTCCAATTAACCACTTAGAAAACGAAGTGGTGCTGTGGCTCAAGTGGTAGAGCACTAGCCTTGAGCTGAAGAGCTGAGGGACAGTACCCAGGCCCAAAGTTCAACCTCATAACCAACAACAACAAAAAAAATTAGTATGAACATGCTCAGAAGGATGGACAGCTAACAGCTTATTTTGGGGTGAAGGGAAGACAATGTTATTAACTAAATGTTGAGCAAGGGCATCATACATGGTGAGAGCTAGCCATGTATAAACATTAATGGGAAAGATCCTAGCTTGAACAGGAGTAAACTTTTCTGTTAAATAATCCTTTGTCTTTATGTGACTATATGAAAATTTATTTTTGCTTGAAAAAAATTTAGTATGAAGATTTTTTTTGCATAGCTGTTTGCTCTCGTGAAACTATTCAATGTATTGTGTATTTTAAGAAAGGAAGTGATAAAAAATGAAGAGGAAGGAAGGGATGGTAGAGGAAAAACAAAGGAGGAGGTAACAATGCTCGATAGGAAATGTACTCATTACCTTACTCATGTAACTGTAACCTCTCCATACATTATCTTTACAATAATATATATGTATAGATATATATATATATAGATATAATTTAAAAAGTAATTGTAGCCGAGTGCCGCTGGTTTGCACCTGTAAACCTAGCTACTCAGGAGGCTGAGATCTAAGGATCACAGGTCAAAGCCAGCCAGGCAAGAAAGTCCATGAGACTCTTTTTTTTAATTGTAAAAATACCATACAGAGGAGTTACAATTACGTGGGCAAGATAATGAGTACATTTCTTTATTTTTTTTTTTTAATTTAATTTTATTTTATTTGAGAACATACTGTAGTATAGGTATGAGTCAAGCGGAAAAAGTCAGAGAATGTGATGTTAGGAAAACGAACCCTCAAATATGTATTTTAATGTTTTTGTTTCTTTCATGCATGTGTTTCTAACGCATTTATAAGATGAGTACATTTCTTATCAAGCATTGTTGCCTCCTCCTTTGTTTCCCTTTCCTATCCCTTCCCATCTCCCCCTCCCCCCCCACCAAAGTTGTAAAGTTCGTTTTCCACATAACGACTTGTACATCTCATTGTTGCAATGGATCCACGTGTATCCCTATTTAAACGATTTGTTTTTTCCCTTCCCCTCCACAAATTATACCAACATCAAATACAGTGAAAGCAGGGGTTATATCGTGGGGGAGGTCCATGAGACTCTTATCTCTAATAAACCACTCAGAAAACCAGAATTGGAGCTGTGGCTCAAGTGGTAGAGCACTAGCCTTGAACTGAAGAGCTGAGAGTCAGTGCCCAGGCCCAGAGTTCAAGCTCCATGACCGACAAAAAAAAAAAAAATTATTTTAAAGACAGTCTGAATATTGCATTTGTGTGTGTGCGTGCACGCGCATGCACACACTGGTTCTGGAGCTTGAATTCAGGGCCTGGGCACTGTCCCTGAGCTTAAGAGTCTCATGGACTTTTCTGCCAGATCTGGCGTTAAATTGGGAGCCTCAGATCTGTCTCCTGAGTAGCTATGATTACAGGCCTGAGCCACCAGCACCCAGCTGTGACTATTGCATTTTAAAACATACTAATCTTTTTTTTTCTTTTTGCCAGTCCTGGGGGCTTGAACTCAGGGCCTGGGCACTGTCCCTGAGCTTCTTTTGCTCAAGGCTAGCACTCTACCACTTGAGCCACAGCGCCACTTCCTGCTTTTTCTGTGAATGCTGTACCCAGGGCTTCATTCATGCTAAGGAGGCACTCTACCACTAAGCCACATTCCCAACCCAAACAAACTAATCTTTAAAACAACTTAAGAATACACTTAGATAAAACTCCATTATTATTTGTAACACATAAGACAAATAGTATTAGATAATTTACTTGGATCATACGTTTGTGTCCTCTGAAGATAGTTCATGCTAAATCATAAAAATGTTTATAATTTCTTACAGAAGTACTCATCATTTTATGTATGTCCAGTTTCAGTTATCAACTCGCATATTACCTTTTAAAGTTTTTGAAGTTATAAGTCTATTCCAGAATATTATGAAATTTTCTTTTAGAGACAAATCCATGTTGTACAATTTAAAAATTATGATATATAATGTACACGCAATGTTTTAACTGGAAATACACTTTGTTTTTAAGCAAGAATTTGAATTGCAGTGGACTTTAACATTACATACATTGTTACTTTGACAAATGCAGTAGTATTAATAAATGCCTTTTTCTTATATAATTTCTTAGGGAACAAGTTCGATTTAATGGCTTTGGGATTTTTCTCTTCATTATTTATCCTGGAGCATTCGTTGATCTATTCACCACCCATTTGCAGCTTATATCACCGGTCCAACAGCTAAGGATATTTTGTGCAGGTAAGAGACTTAATCATTTTTTCAGACTTAATATTTTATCTAATGTTTATCTGTATATTTGGTTTTGGTTTTCCATGGTTAGTGTATATGGAAAATACATTAAATATGACAACCTCTTATCATTTGGTTAATTTATAAAATTTTCCTCAAAAGTAGTACGATATAATAATCTACATTCCAGTTTCTTCTTTAAAAATAATATAAGCCAGGTGCCGATGGTTCACTCCTCACGATTTGAAGCCAGTTAACAAGTGAAAACCCAGGAGTGGATCTCTGGCTCAAATGGTGAAGCATTAGCCTTCAACACAAAAGCTCAGGAACAGTGCCCTGGCTCTGAGTTCAGGCGGGCCCTAGGACTGACACCAAAAAAAAAGAAAAGAGGAGAAACAGAAGAAGAAAAGAAACAAACCCTCAGTTTGAATTAATCCCCATGCTGGGATTAAGGTTTAAGGCCAGGCCAGGCAAAAAGTTAGTGAGATCCCAACCTAGTCAACAAGCCATGTGCAATGGGATGCACCTATGCTTCCAAGCTATGTGGGAGACATATGTAGGACATAGTAAAGGATTGGACCCAGCCAGAAAGCCTAAGACCATAGCTGAAAAATTACTGAAACAGAAGTCTGGCTCAAGTGGTAAAACATTTACTGACCAAACAGAGAACCTACCTTCAAGCCTCAGTATTGCTCCAAAAACATATCCCAAATGTGTGATGTATAATATAAATCTATCTAACTGGGTGCTGGTGGCTCACTCCTGTAATCCTAGCTGTGCAAGAGGCTGAGATCTGAGGATTTGATTTGAAGCCAACCCAGAGAGGAATGTTTGTGAGATTTTGTTTTGTTTGTTTTTGTCGGTCGTGGTTCCTGAACTCTGGGCCTGGGTGCTGTCGCTCAGCTCTTCAGCTCAAGGCTAGAACTCTAACACTTGAGTCACAACACCACTTCCAGCTTTTTCTGCTTATGTAGTGCCGAGGAATTGAACCCAGGGCCTCATGCATGCAAGGCAAGTGCTCTACCACTGAGCCACCTTCCCAGACCTTGTTTGTGAGACTTTTTATCTCCAATTAACTACCAAAAAGAAGCTGGAAGTAGAAGTGTGGCTGCAGTGCTAGCCTTGAACAAAAAGAGTTCAGAGATAGATCCCAGGCCCTGAGTTCAAGACCCAGGACCAGCACATACATATATACATGCATGCATGCATACATGAATGCCTGATATCAGTGGCTCACACCTGTAATTCTAGCTACTCAGAAGGCTGAGCTCTCAGGGTAAACAAAGTCTGTGAAACTCTTATCTCCAGTTAGCCACCAGAAAGCCAGTGTGGCTCAAGTGATAGAGCCCTAGCCTTGAGTGAAAAAGCTCAAGGAAAATGCTCACGCCTTGAGTTCAAGCCCTAGTACTGGTTCAAAAAAAGGGAAGATCTATCTATCAAAAATTACTCAGAAAGATTGAAAGTAAAATGATAAGTAAAACATAATGGAAATGTGAGTAATAATAAGACTTAAACATTAAGTTGGAAATAGAGTGTTACTTAGTAATGATACAGAATATATCCAGTGTGAAAACTAATAATTGTGCATATTACTGTAACCAGGACAAAAAGCTGTAACAAGAGGTAAAAGCACAAAGAAGAGAGGCTGGGAAAGTGGCTTAGTGGTAGAATGCTTGCCTTGCATGTATGAAGCCCTGGGTTCCATTCCTCAGTACCACATAAACAGAAAAAGCCAGACGTGGTGCTATGGCTCAAGAGGTAGAGTGCTAGCATTGAGCAAAAGAAGCTCAGGGACAGTGCCCAGGCCCTGAGTTCAAGCCCCAGGACAGGCAAAAAAAAGTACAGAGGAGCAGAAATGTAATAAAGGTTATTATATATATATATATGTATGTATGTATGTATGTATGTATGTATATACACACACATATATATTTTTTAAAATTTTTTGCTAGTCATGGGAGCTGACAGCTCTTCAGTTCAAGGCTAGTGCCCTACCACTTGAGCCACAGCACCACTTTTGGCTTTTTTCTGCTTATGTGGTGCTGAGGAATCGAACCCAGTACCTCCTGCATGTGAGGCAATACTCTATACTGAGTCAACTTCCCAGCCCAGATAAGTATATTTAAAAGGTTATGGAGAGCTGGGAAAGTGGCTTAGTTGTAGATTGCTTACCTAGCATACGTGAAGCCCTGAGTTCAGTTCCTCAGTTCCACATACACAAAAAAACCAGAAGTGGTGCTGTGGCTCAAGTGGTAGAGGGCTACAGTTGAGCAAAAGAAGCTCAGAGACAATGCCCAGCCTCCGAGTTTAAGCCCTAGAACTAGTTTGTTTGTTTTTTTTAAAGGTTATGGCATCTCAAATTAGTGAGGTTAAAAAAATAGCTAAGGTCCGGTGCCTGTGACTCACACCTGTAATCCTAGCTACTCAGAAAGCTGAGATCTGAGGATCACGGTTCAAAGCCAGCCTAGTCAGGAAAGTCCATGAGACTCTTATCTCCCAGTTAACCATCAAAGAAAAGCATAATGGGTTTTTTAAAATAATTTTTATTGAGATTAACTGATTATATATTTCACAAATTTCACAGTTTTGTGAGATAGTGATACTTTAAAGTCACAAATACATTTTAACCTTCACAAGGCAAATTGTCATTATCGTGGTATATAACATTTGTGAATTCTATGAGCTTTGACAATACAACTATTTCTTCCACATCAGGTGATATGTACATTTCTTTCCTTTTGCTAAGTGTAAGCTGTTCCCTTTTTTCCTCTCATTCCCTCCCATGGCTGCCTTTGAGTTGCTTAATTCATTTTCATCAATGTCCAGTGCAGCTGATGGGCCCTCTGTTGTATATTTTCCCGTTTCCCTCTGATTCTGTGTCCTCCTCCTAGCTTCCCTCAGATGTGCATATGTATATACCATATATGTGGTCAAGAACATGGAGTCCTTTAGAAATGATACGACAAATCGTGTGAATGTCCTGTTTCTTGAGTCCTGTTTACTTTTTCATATCTCCTTGCATTTTGGATTTAACATCCACATATCAGGGAGACCATGTGCCGTATGTGTCTCTGCTTTTGGCTCACCTCACTCAAAATGATTTGTTTTAGTTCCATCCATTTCCCTGCAAATGCCATTATTCTGTCCTTTCTAATGGCTGCATAATATTCCATTGTATATAGGTACCACAATTTTTGGATCCATTCATCTGTCGTGGGGCATCTGGGTTATTTCCATATCTTGGCTATTGTGAACAGTGCTGCAATGAACATCGAGGTGCATGTAGCCTTGTATCCTGGTTCCTGTTGCTCAGGGTAGATGCCTAGGAGTGGTATGGCTGGGTCATAGGGGAGGTCTATGTTTAATTTTCTAAAGTACTCTAGACTGCTTTCCAAAGTGATTGTATTAGTGTACATTCCTACCAGCAGTGCAGTAGGGTTCCTCTTTCTCTGCATCCCTTCCTGCATTTGTCATTGGCTGAATTTAGGATGTGGGCCTTTCTGACTGGGGTAAGGTGGTATCTCAGGGTTGTTTTTATTTGCGTTTCCTTTACAGCCAGGGATGGTGAACATTTCCTCATGTGTTTCTTTGCCACTTTTATCTCTTCCAAAAAGTCTCTCTTTAGCTCCCTTGCCCATTTCATGATTGGTTTGATAGATTTGGGAGGGATTAGTTTCTTGAGTTAATTCCTTGTACATTATGGATATTAGGCCCTTGTCTGATATATTTCTAGTAAATATTTTTTTCCCAATTAGTTGGCTGCCTTTCTAGTTTGGTAGCTATGTCTTTAGCTGTGCAGACTTCTTATTTCAAGATAGTCCCATTTTGTCGAGTCTGTCTCCAATTTGTTGTGACCCTGGGACTCTGTTCAGGAAATTCCTGCCTGTGCCTTTAAGGTCTGTCCAGCAGTAGTTTCAGTTTCTGGAATTGTCCCTCCACGGTTGTTTCTTTTGCCTAGAATTGCTTTGGGTATTCTAGGTTTTTTGTTGTTTCATATGAATTTTTGGATTGTTTTCTTTATTTCAGTAAAGAATGTCATTGGGATTTTGATGAGAATTGCATTGAATTTGTATATCATATTTGGTAGTATGGCCATTTTCACTCTGCCTATCAAAGAACATGGAAGGTCTTTCCATTTCCTGGTGTCTTCTATGATTTCTTTCTTTAGGCTTTTGTAGTTTTCTCTAAATACTTTCTTTACAACTTTGCTTAGGTTAATTCCTAGATATTTTTTTGAGGTTATTGTGAATGGGGTTGTTTCCTTGATTTCCCTTTCTGCTTGTACATTGTTGGTGTACAGAAGCCAACTGATTTTTGTGGGTTGATTTTGTATCCTGCTACTTTGCCAAAGTGGTTTATAAGCTCTAGGAGTTTGGGAGTAGAGTTTGTGGGATCGTTAAGGTATAATATCATGTCATCTGCAAATAGGGATAGTTTAATTTCTCCCTTCCCTATGCAGATCCCTTTAATGTCCTTTTCTTGCCTTATTGCACTGGCTAAGGATTCCAGAATTATATTGAAGAGGAGTGGAGAGAGTGGGCATCCTTACCTTGTTCCTGATTTTAGGAGAATTGTAGGTTTTTCCCATTTAGTATAATATTGGCTATTGGTCTGTTGTATATGGCTTTTATTGTTGTAAGGAATGTTCCTTCTACTCCTATTTTATCCAGAGCTTTTAATGTGAATGAATGTTGTATTTTATGAAAAGCCTTTTCCACATCAATGGAGATAATCATGGGGTTCTTGTCCTTGGATCTGTTGATATGATGGATTACATTTATTGATTTATGTAGGTTAAGCCATCCCTGCATCATTGAGATGAAGCCTACTTGGTCATAATGTATGATTTTTTTCATGTTTCTGGATTCTGTTAGCTAAGATTTTATTGAGGAGCTTTGCATCTGTATTCACCAAAGAGATTGGTCTGTAGTTCTCTTATTTGGTTGGGTTTTTGCCTCATTTGGGGATGAGTGTGATATCGACTTTATAAAATGATCTTGGGATTGCTC